TACGCGCCAAACCGTTTGAATAAGGCTGTCGAGTCCCACAGGTGCGTTAATAGGGGATTATCACGATTCCGGGTTTCATGGGCGGGATTTGTCAACGTCCATTCCTGACGCAGTTCAACAATGGCCAAAACGAAGGCTAGATGTCACTCCTCTGTTCCACTTTGTAAATCTAACGAACAACGCCAACCCTACTTAAGTTTTCATGGATTCCCGACTGAATTGAGTATAAGGAAGAAGTGGATTAAAGCGGTTCGCCGGGATGAACGTCCAAACTTTAAAAATAAAACAAGGCAGCGTGTTTGTTCAAGAATTAGTTCACTTTTGAAAAAAATTTTTGCTGATAATTTACTCACCCCCATGTCATCCAAGATGTCCATGTCTTTCTTTCCTCAGTCGAAAAGAAATTAAGGTTTTTGATGAAAACATTCCAGGATTTTTCTCCATATAATGGACTTACATGGGAACCAAATTGAAGCCACAGTTAATAACAGTTTCAGATGCAGCTTCAAATGTCTTTAAACGACACCAGACGATGAATAAGGGTCTTATCATGCGAAACGATCGGTTATTTCAAAGCTTATTCCAAAAATGTAACTTTTCTAAGGACAAATGCTAGCCTTGCTCTGTTCTGTGAGGCGCGTTTGCAACGTCACGTAATACGTAATTACGTTCAAAAGGTCACGGGCGACGTAGCCAGAAGTACAGAGTCAGTGTTTACAAGTTGAACGCATAGGTTGAACGTGAAAACTAACTCAAACGCCGTTTACAAAAAAATTAAAAGGTAAAACAACGATGTCGGACGATTTTGATTCTGTACTTCCGGCTACGTCGCACGTGACCTTTTGAACGTAATTACGTATATACGTGACGTTACAAACGCGCCTCACAGAACAGAGCAAGGCTAGCATTTGTCCTTAGAAAAGTTACATTTTGTGAATAAGCTTTGAAATAACCGATCGTTTCGCATGATAAGACCCTTATTCATCGTCTGGTGTCGTTTAAAGACATTTGAAGCTGCATCTGAAACTGTTATTAACACTATCGTTTGGACCTGAACCATCCGGTTCCCATTGAAGTCCATTATATGGAGAAAAATCCTGGAATGTTTTCATCAAAAACCTTAATTTCTTTTCGACTGAGGAAAGAAAGACATGGACATCTTGGATGACACGGGAATGAGTAAATTATCAGCAAAAGTTTTTTCAAAAGTGAACTAATCCTTTCAGTTTGTACGTCCATGCCAATTTCATGACAGGGATCAGACTTTCCTTATTCCAGCTGTTCTCTTTTTCTGCTGATTGTGTAAAGTTGTGTGGTGAGATAGAGATAGTAATTTTAGTTTATTTAGCAAAATCTATGTGTTGATTAAAGTTCATAGTATTTGTTCTGACTTCATGAAGCCTTATGATGTGCCTGAAACATCAAACTGACTAGAACAAACTGTATATGAGATGTATATGATACTGGATATCAAGGGTGAAACTGTTATTAAAGTAGACAGACAGCAATTTCATTCAGTGTCAGTCATGTGTGGGTGAACATCTAATTTAGTTAGGCATTTAAAAGCCCTATTGAGAAAATTAAAACATGGAAAGTGGAAAAATGAGTAAATGGTTTAATCAAGCATTACTTAAATAGAAACATTTAGTAAAAGTAAAAGAGACCGAAGCCATACAGCCAAAGCATCTCAAAAGAAGAAAAGTGTCTAGGTTCAAAGACACATGAAAGTATATCTTGCATTTACATGGGAGAGTAGAAGTGGAAGAGAAACTAGATTTTATCAAAAATAGAGTTAAAAGTGTGCATCAGATTCATGTCTCTCTTAAAAGGGTTATGGCCTTCTTCTCCAGTTATCACAGTTCACAGTTAAATGATCTTTCTTCAGAATGAGAAGATGTGATTTCAGAGCGAAAGCCTGAGCCGCTTCTTCCCAGACTTGATTTACATTGGTTTTCCCGACACTCATCTGGAGACAGATTTATATGCTTCTGTTTTTCCTTTCTTGTTCACGTCCATCAGGTCTAAAAACACATTAAATCAAGTGAGATTTCAAATGAGAGACACATGTAAAATGAAAAGTGTATCCAAAAGTCAAGATCACTGATGAGTTCATCATCAAATCTGGTGCACAACTCAATTATAATCTATTTTAATGATGATTTGTGTTACAAGTCACTAGTTTGGTCATGAAACAATGTAAATCTGGTGAGCAGAAGCATGTTCTTCAGCAATATGAATGAATGAATGAAGAATAAACACCAACCTCTTGGTTCTTCAGTATCTTCAGTGTGTTTCATTCGGCAGGTTCTGGATCACTGTCGTTCTCTCTGTCCTCTCCTTCCAGATGCTTTCTGGTAGTTCTGCCAAAAATGATAATATGCATGATAAATATTTCAAGAACTAATAAATAACAAGAATAATAGTGACATTGATCTTGTGTTACCAACGGTTGCAAGGAACACACAATGAAGATGAAGACATCAAGGCTAGATTATTGGGTAACACTTTAGAATACGGTTCCTTCGTTAATGAATAACTACACAAGAACTAATGAGTAACACTATATTAACAATCTAGTAACTACTATTAACAAACAAGAATCTCTGATTAACGAACTAGTAAGTAATAGCGCACAGACGAAAGTGGTAGTTCACTATTAAGTAATCAATAACTACTATTTTTTTTAATACTTCCCAGAGAACTACTGAAAACGTTTATTAATAATCTAGTAACTACTATTAAGTAAAAGAAACTCTTATTAACGAATTAGTAAGTAATAGCTCACAGATGACAGTGTTACTAGATACTTCTGTGGGAATTACTAATTATTTGGATTCGTATTATAAAGTGAAGATCATTGGAACTAACTAGTAATTACTCAAGTGTTACTACATGATCTAGTCATGATTTGTGCAGATGTTTGAGATTTTTTGGTGAACTTTAGTAACTTTTAGAAAATGTCTTTAGTAACACTTGAGTAATTACTAGTTAGTTCCAATGATCTTCACTTTACAATACGAATCCAAATAATTAGTAATTCCCACAAAAGTATCTAGTAACACTTTCATCTGTGAGCTATTACTTACTAATTCGTTAATAAGAGTTTCTTTTAGTTAATAGTAGTTACTAGATTGTTAATAAACTTTTCCAGTAGTTCTCTGGGAAGTATTAAAAAAATAGAAGTTATTGATTAGTTAATAGTGAACTACCACTTTCGTCTGTGCGCTATTACTTACTAGTTCGTTAATCAGAGATTCTTGTTTGTTAATAGTAGTTACTAGATTGTTAATATAGTGTTACTCATTAGTTCTTGTGTAGTTATTCATTAACGAAGGAACCGTATTCTAAAGTGTTACCGGTTATTGAAATGCTCCACTGGGGGGTTAATAAACAAACTCCAGCTAGTTCAAAACACAGCCGCTCGAGTTCTTACCAGAACGACCATATTAGCCCGGTTCTGTCAACCCTGCATTGGCTCCCGTATACATTTTTAAATATCGCTGATTACATACAAAGATCAGCGTTCTCACAGGTTGACGTTTTTTTTAAAGTTTGCATATAGAGAATGTAAGAGTTTTCTGTTAAAAAAAGTGTCGTGTTAGCGGCCACTAAGCTAATACCTAATGATCTCTGCGACGGAAGAGAATCATCTGGAACTTTAGCGGGAAAACAACTTTATTCTAGAGCGGCCATTAAAGGGTTAGTTCACCCAAAAATGAAAATTAAGTCATTAATTACTCACCCCCATGCTGTACCAACCCCGTAAGACCTTCGTTCATCTTCGGAACACAAATAAAGATATTTTTGATTGAATCTGAGGGCTGGATCACTCTTCCATAGACAGCCTGAGGGACTGGCTCTTGATGGCCCAGAAAGTCATTAAAAGAAAAGGTTTAAATATTCCATGTGCCTACAGTGGCTCAACTATAACTTTATCAAGCGACGAGACTACTTTTTGTGCGAAAAAAAAAAACGTAAATAACGACTTTATTCGACTTTCCATTACTTCCTTATGGGCGCATGCGCGAGAACTGAGACGAGACCGTTCTTCTTCGACTACTTTTTGTTACCGGCTGCTCACCGCTTAGGAGTTTTACCGCCCCCTACCGTATAAGATGACGTACTGATATAGCCGGAGGCGCAAAACGTTCTTTTTACAAGCAGTACGTCATCTTATACGGTAGGGGGCGGTAAAACTCCTAAGCGGTGAGCAGCCGGTAAAAGTAGTCGAAGAAGAACGGTCTCGTCTCAGTTCTCGCGCATGCGCCCATAAGGAAGTAATGGAAAGTCGAATAAAGTCGTTATTTACGTTTTTTTTCGCACAAAAAGTAGTCTCGTCGCTTGATAAAGTTATAGTTGAGCCACTGTAGGCACATGGAATATTTAAACCTTTTCTTTTAATGACTTTCTGGGCCGTCAAGAGGCAGTCCCTCAGGCTGTCTATGGAAGAGTGATCCAGCCCTCAGATTCAATCAAAAATATCTTTATTTGTGTTCCGAAGATGAACGAAGGTCTTACGGGGTTGGTACAGCATGGGGGTGAGTAATTAATGACTTAATTTTCATTTTTGGCTGAACTAACCCTTTAAGCCAAAACAATCTGTTACTTTAATTTAGTTTGATCTATATTGTTAAAAGCACTATATAAATAACAAGATGCTTTCTCATAATAACGACTTAACATCTCATAATGAGAAATGATCTCATAATAATGATATATTATAACTCAAAATCTCATAATATGTTAAAAATTGAAACAGATGGCAAGCAACCACCAAGATGACCTGTTGCTCATCGTGGCTGTTAGGAAACTAAATTACACAGAAGAGACTTTAATGCTCAGCACATAAAGATGAACTACTTACTGTGATCGCGGACTCTGTTGATGTGGTTTCTCCACTGTATGGATCTTCATGTGTCGCTTCAAGTGAGTTTTAAAATAGAAAACCTTTCCACACTGATCACACGTGTTTGAGTTCTCGGCGCTGTGGATCTTCATATGTGTTTTCAGATGTGATGACTGACTGAATCTCTTGTCACAGTGTGAACACTTGTAAGGTTTTTCTCCAGTGTGGATCTTCTCATGTGTTTTCAGATGTGATGAGTGATTGAATCTCTTGTCACAGTGTGAACACATGTAAGGTTTTTCTCCAGTGTGGATCCTCTCATGCGCTTTTAGATCTGATGACCGACTGAATCCCTTGTCACAGTGTGAACACTTGTAATTTTTTTCTCCAGTGTGGCTCCTCTGGTGCAGTTTTAATTGATCAGCTGTAGTAAAAGTCTTCTCACACTCAAAGCACATGTATTCTCTCACATCAGTGTGAAATTTCTGATGTACATGTAAATATTGCAGCAGTGAAAAACTCTTTCCACACACAGAACATGAATACGGCTTCTCCTCCGTATGAACTGTCAGGTGTTTCTTCAGGTTTGATGCATTAAGAAATGTTTTGTCGCACTGATCGCATGTGTACGGCTTCTCTCCGGTGTGGGTCCTCATGTGAATCTTAAGGTATGATGATTGACGGAAACACTTCCCACACTGATAGCATGCGTACGGCTTTTCTCCAGTGTGGATCCTCATGTGAACATTAAGACTTTCTTTTCGTGTGAAGCTCGACCCACACTGATCACATGTGTGCGGCTTCTTTCCAGCGTGGATCATCATGTGAACATTAAGATGTGAGTTTTGTGTGAAGCTCGACCCACACTGATCGCATGAGAATGGTTTCTCTCCAGTGTGGGTCATCATGTGAAGCTTAAGAGTTTTTTTGTGTGAGAATCTCTTTTCACACTGATCACATGTGAACGGCTTTTCTCCGGTGTGGATCCTCATGTGACCCTTAAGGTTTGCTAATTGTGTGAAACTCTTCCCACATAGATCGCATGAGAACGGTTTCTCTTTAGTGTGAACTCTCATGTGAACCTCAAGATGTTCTTTGCGTGTGAAACTTTTTCTTTTATTTAAAATTGTCTGTTTATTCTTTGAGCGACGCAAGTGTTCTTCACTCTCCTCGTTCTCGTCCATCAGGTCTGAAGTGGAAAAAATAATAACAATAATACAAAGAGAGAAAGAGAAAAAAAAATGAAGTGAAAGACATAAAAATGGACAACTGCTATTAAATATTACCATTTTACCGTTTTTTAAATATGAATTAACCCTCATGTGGTGTTCAAAAACCTAACACTTGTGGTGTTCCCGGTCAAAAATGACCGGCCTATAAAAAATAGCTTATAAATCACTCATTATACCATATTTTAACCCAATCTTGGGTTCAATCTTTTTGTCAACTTGTTCTCTTTCAATTAGGACTGGTTTTATATTTCTGTTTGCATCTGATTAATCGTGGGCCTCGTTTGTCTGAGAGTAGGCATCTCATTTTTTGAGTAAAAAATAAATAATTTATGAGTAAATTTGGAAAAATGAAAAAATTTTTTGAAAAAAATGGCTACTGTTCATCACACTAGTCTACTCTAATGTTTTTCCAGGAATTTTGTTTTGAAACTTTTGTTTTGTAAAAAATATGGAACATAGTCACACTTGTGGTGTTCCCGGTCAAAAATGACCGGCCTATAAAAAATAGCTTATAAATCACTCATTATACCATATTTTAACCCAATATTGGATTCAATCTTTTTGTCAACTTGTTCTCTTTCAATTAGGACTGGTTTTATATTTCTGTTTGCATCTGATTAATCGTGGGCCTGGTTTGTCTGAGAGTAGGCATCTCATTTTTTGAGTAAAAAATAAAAAATTTATGAGTAAATTTGGAAATATGAAAAAAAAAATTGAAAAAAAATGGCTACTGTTCATCACACTAGTCTACTCTAATGTTTTACCAGGAATTTTGTTTTGAAACTTTTGTTTTGTAAAAAATATGGAACATAGTCACACTTGTGGTGTTCCCGGTCAAAAATGACCGGCCTATAAAAAATAGCTTATAAATCACTCATTATACCATATTTTCACCCAATCTTGGATTCAATCTTTTTGTCAACTTGTTCTCTTTCAATTAGGACTGGTTTTATATTTCTGTTTGCATCTGATTAATCGTGGGCCTCGTTTGTCTGAGAGTAGGCATCTCATTTTTTGAGTAAAAAATAAATAATTTATGAATAAATTTGGAAATATGAAAAAAAAATTGAAAAAAATGGCTACTGTTTATCACACTAGTCTACTCTAATGTTTTACCAGGAATTTTGTTTTGAAACTTTTGTTTTGTAAAAAATATGGAACATAGTCACACTTGTGGTGTTCCCGGTCAAAAATGACCAGCCTATAAAAAATAGCTTATAAATCACTCATTATACCATATTTTAACCCAATATTGGATTCAATCTTTTTGTCAACTTGTTCTCTTTCAATTAGGACTGGTTTTATATTTCTGTTTGCATCTGATTAATAGTGGGCCTCGTTTGTCTGAGAGTAGGCATCTCATTTTTTGAGTAAAAAATAAATAATTTATGAGTAAATTTGGAAATATGAATTTTTTTTTTGAAAAAAATGGCTACTGTTCATCACACTAGTCTACTCTAATGTTTTACCAGGAATTTTGTTTTGAAACTTTTGTTTTGTAAAAAATATGGAACATAGTCACACTTGTGGTGTTCCCGGTCAAAAATGACCGGCCTATAAAAAATAGCTTATAAATCACTCATTATACCATATTTTCACCCAATCTTGGATTCAATCTTTTTGTCAACTTGTTCTCTTTCAATTAGGACTGGTTTTATATTTCTGTTTGCATCTGATTAATCGTGGGCCTCGTTTGTCTGAGAGTAGGCATCTCATTTTTTGAGTAAAAAATAAATAATTTATGAGTAAATTTGGAAATATGAAATTTTTTTTTTGAAAAAAAATGGCTACTGTTTATCACACTAGTCTACTCTAATGTTTTACCAGGAATTTTGTTTTGAAACTTTTGTTTTGTAAAAAATATGGAACATAGTCACACTTGTGGTGTTCCCGGTCAAAAATGACCGGCCTATAAAAAATAGCTTATAAATCACTAATTATACCATATTTTCACCCAATCTTGGATTCAATCTTTTTGTCAACTTGTTCTCTTTCAATTAGGACTGGTTTTATATTTCTGTTTGCATCTGATTAATCGTGGGCCTGGTTTGTCTGAGAGTAGGCATCTCATTTTTTGAGTAAAAAATAAAAAAATTATGAGTAAATTTGGAAATATGAAAAAAAAAATTGAAAAAAAATGGCTACTGTTTATCACACTAGTCTACTCTAATGTTTTACCAGGAATTTTGTTTTGAAACTTTTGTTTTGTAAAAAATATGGAACATAGTCACACTTGTGGTGTTCCCGGTCAAAAATGACCGGCCTATAAAAAATAGCTTATAAATCACTCATTATACCATATTTTCACCCAATCTTGGATTCAATCTTTTTGTCAACTTGTTCTCTTTCAATTAGGACTGGTTTTATATTTCTGTTTGCATCTGATTAATCGTGGGCCTCGTTTGTCTGAGAGTAGGCATCTCATTTTTTGAGTAAAAAATAAATAATTTATGAATAAATTTGGAAATATGAAATTTTTTTTTGAAAAAAAATGGCTACTGTTCATCACACTAGTCTACTCTAATGTTTTACCAGGAATTTTGTTTTGAAACTTTTGTTTTGTAAAAAATATGGAACATAGTCACACTTGTGGTGTTCCCGGTCAAAAATGACCGGCCTATAAAAAATAGCTTATAAATCACTCATTATACCATATTTTCACCCAATCTTGGATTCAATCTTTTTGTCAACTTGTTCTCTTTCAATTAGGACTGGTTTTATATTTCTGTTTGCATCTGATTAATCGTGGGCCTCGTTTGTCTGAGAGTAGGCATCTCATTTTTTGAGTAAAAAATAAATAATTTATGAGTAAATTTGGAAATATGAATTTTTTTTTTTTTTGAAAAAAATGGCTACTGTTCATCACACTAGTCTACTCTAATTTTTTTACCAGGAATTTTGTTTTGAAACTTTTGTTTTGTAAAAAAATATGGAACATAGTCACACTTGTGGCGTTCCCGGTCAAAAATGACCTGCCTATAAAAAATAGCTTATAAATCACTCATTATACCATATTTTAACCCAATCTTGGATTCAATCTTTTTGTCAACTTGTTCTCTTTCAATTAGGACTGGTTTTATATTTCTGTTTGCATCTGATTAATCGTGGGCCTCGTTTGTCTGAGAGTAGGCATCTCATTTTTTGAGTAAAAAATAAATAATTTATGAGTAAATTTGGAAATATGAAAAAAAAAATGTGAAAAAAATGGCTACTGTTCATCACACTAGTCTACTCTAATGTTTTACCAGGAATTTTGTTTTGAAACTTTTGTTTTGTAAAAAATATGGAACATAGTCACACTTGTGGTGTTCCCGGTCAAAAATGACCGGCCTATAAAAAATAGCTTATAAATCACTCATTATACCATATTTTCACACAATCTTGGATTCAATCTTTTTGTCAACTTGTTCTCTTTCAATTAGGACTGGTTTTATATTTCTGTTTGCATCTGATTAATCGTGTAACAAGGTAACAGTGTAACAAGGTAACAGAACTCCCACAAAAAAATACGAAAATGTTCAAAAAACAAATGAGATATAGTTATACCGCTTGGGAACAAAGTCACTAAGTTTCAGTCCAAAGTGATAACATTAACTAGTATTTTCAGGAAAAAGAAAATCTTCTCCGGGTCAAATTGACCCGAACACCACATGAGGGTTAAATAAAGTTAAATAAACAAATTTCCTTGTCTTCCAGTTCAAATCCAGTTCCCACTCTGCTTGCCACAGAAACAAGAACATAAACTTTTTGCAGTCAATTCGAGCAGATTGTATATTGTTATATTTTGTATTCATTATTATTTGTTATACATTGAATTTATCACAGAGTGTGACATATCACAACAGTGTCAGTAAAATAAATTCACAAGCTGAAAGTCTAGACTGATCCCCACGTTTAAACCTCCCCAGATTATATTAACATCTTCTATATAACCTATGAAACATATAAATGATTGGAGATAATGATCTCTGCGAGATAAGTTTTGTGTAAACGCACAGATAAAAACAGCGCAGTGCAAGTGTGTCATATAGCCTATTGTAAGAAAAAATGATGTGGACGTCGAAGATCTCAAAAATGAAGTTTATTACAGCATAGCAGTGGCAAGGCACACAAAGCACCTTGGGTTCACCAGCGTCAGAATGAACCCCGAGCTCATCCCAGCGCAAACATTTTATACAGTCTTACATCTGTCTTCCCTCTCAGCATGTAAATGAAGCTTTCTCTTAAATGTAAATCAAGACAAACAGATTCGTCTTCTCTATCAGCGTGGAGCTGAAACTCTGTCTTTAAATGTAAATTGAAGAGAACGAGACAAGTGGTGCCTCCGTGTCTATGTCTTTGTTATTCCAAACTCTGTCTTTAAATGTAAATCTAAGAGAACGATACAAGTGTTAGACTGATACGGTCAAATATTTAAAGGTGATAATATCTCTCAGAAACTCCCTAATCAAGATGGTTCTTGAATACCCACTGTCTTTCCCACTCTATAGGTGATAACCATGACTCTGTGATTTTGTTTAAGATTGTAAGGAATTGATTCTATGATAAATAAGCTCTTTCAAGTGAAGGAACATTTCAATATAATCTATATTGGAGTGGAAGGTTGATCGGAGCAGACTGTAATTTCTTACAGATTCCCCCCTTTGATGCTCTGGGCCACAAGTAGCATCACATCCACTCCCTTTTCCTAAATAACACCTCCCTTTCCTGGTGGGCAGGTGCCCAGTGGCGGTGCCACCCTGGCTTAGGTTGCCCCCCTATGGCCATCGGAGAAGTCTTACCCGTCATAGGAATGACACCTCATGCACACTGGTTACAGCTCTACTTCACTTGAGCAGACCTATCATAGTTTGTGTTAAGATTTTTTTATTTTTTTTTGAAAAATATTTGGGTTTGAGAGAGGTAATCAAGAACCATCACATCCAACGGGAACGTCCAATATTGATCATAGAATTAT